AGATTTTTAAAAATCTACTTGTAGTTCTGTCATATTATGTTTCGAGGCTATGTTATTAGAGGCATGCAGATTTAGAATTATTTTATCTTCTTGGTGAACCAAATATCTTATCCTTATATAATGAACATCTTTAAAGTCATTTTTTTTCTGGTAGTAATATATTTCAATCATCTTTCTTTTATTTGATATTTGCCTGGTACCCCTTTGGAATCCTTGATTTTTAGTTTTTCTGTGTCCTTGCATTTTACATTGGACTCTTGTAAATAGTATGTTTGTTTCAATCCAGTCTGAAATATTTGCCTTTTTGACTAAAACGTTTATTTTGTACATAGTTGTGGTGACTACTGGTATATTTAGATGTATTTCCACCTTCTTATTATCTGCTTTCTATTTGTCTCATTTTTCATGCCTTTTCCACTTTTCCCAAATTTCCCTTATTTCTCTTCCTATTTCTCAGCAGGCAATCTTGCTTCCTATTTCACTGAGGGAAAAAAAAAAAGCAGCAGTTAGAGAAGAACTTCCACAAGCTCACTCATCTGGCCATGTGGCTGCATCTGAACCCATCTACAGTGCCTTTTCTTCTATTGAGGATAAACTCCCCTCCCATCCCTGTTTATGCACTAAATCCCATCCTTTCTTGCCTTCTCAGTGATGTTGTTCACTCTCTGTTCTGCATCATCAACCTTTTGTTCTTTATGGACTCCTTTCTATAAACATAGGTATACCGCTTTCCCCCACCTTACAATATTCCTGTTTGGGACCTTACTTCCTCCTTCAGCTACCATCCCATTTCTTCATTTTACAGCAAAACTATTAAGAGCAGTTGTTTATCTTTGTTGTCTCCAGTTCCTGTTCTCCCATTCTCCGAACCAACTCCCGCGAGCTAAGTTAGCAATGACCTTCACCTTTTAAACCCTTTTCTCATTATTCATCCTGCTTACTCACACAAAAGCATTTGAGACAGCTGATTATTTCCCTTTCCTTGAAATACTAGTAGCTTTTCACTTGGCTTCTAGGACACTCAACTATGCCAGTCTTTTTTTTTTTTTTTTAATCATTTTATTTTATTTATTTATTTTTGTCTTTGATTGGTTAAGGTGTTACATAAGTGTCCTTTTCGCCCCATTGCCCCCGCCCACCTCCCCACTCATGCCCTCACTGCCCTGGTGTCTGTGTCCATTGGTTAGGCTTATATGCATGCATACAAGTTCTTTGGTTAATCTCTCCCCTTTACCCACACCCTCCCCTACCTTCCCTCTGAGGTTTGACGGTCTGATCGATGCTTATCTATCTCTGGATCTGTTTTTGTTCATCAGTTTATGTTGTTCATTATATTCCATAAATGAGTGAGATCATGTGATATTTATCTTTTTCTGACTGACTTATTTCACTTAGCATGCTCTCCAGTTCCATCCATGCTGTTGCAAATGGTAAGAATTCCTTCTTTTTTACCGCAGCGTAGTATTCCATTGTATAGATGTACCACAGTTTTTTAGTCCACTCATCCCAGTCTTTTTCTTACCTCCTTTGTGGAATTTTAATCTCCTTTGCTTTTTACTCTTTATGTCTCTCACCACCAAACATTGGAATGTTCTAAAGCTCAATCCTTGGAATTCATTAATAAAGATTGTAATTAATGAATGTTTTAAATGTTTTACATGCGAATAATCACCAAATTTTTAATATATCCTGCCAGACATCCTGCCTGAACCCAGACTCACATGTGAACCTCAACTCCCACTTGTCATCTCTAATTTAACATTCCCAAACTGAACTCCTGATATTTCCTCCTTCCTAATCTGATCTAAACAAAATTTCCCCCTTCTCACTGAATGGCAATGCCAATTGCTCCCTTTGGTTAGGCCTAAAACCTTGGCATTATCTTTGACTTTCTTCTTTCTTCAGACCCACATCCAATCCATCATCAAGTTCTATTGGTTCTACCTTTAGGATGTATCAAGGATCCTACATTTCTTCCAACTCCATCCTAACATCCTTGTCAATACCACCATCACCTCTTCCCAGGATCATTACAATAGCCACCTACTTCCACCCTTGTCTCCCTTCAGTCTATTTTAAACACTGTAGCGTAAATCTGATCATATCATGTTTGTCTTCAAACAAAATCTACTTCAAAGAGATTATATCTATATTTATAAATCTATTAAAATATCTGAATATAGATTGAAAAACAAATGTAAGGTAATGTTAACAGGATTTTGTGTTTATTCAATTCTTTGGTTTCAAAAAAGCAGTGTTTTACAAAAAAATTATTCTATTTTACTAACAAGCATTGCTCACAAAGTTTCAGTGCTCAAAACAAATTGGGGACTTTATTGGGAATAGGTTACGTAAATGTCTTTACTGTAGCTATTCTCAAAGATTATGCCAAGGTTTTAGGCCTAACCATTGCACCTAGTGCCCCAGCCAGGGCATTCAGCAGGAGCTCAATCAATATTTTCTAGTGGATGAATTACTGGAGGAGCATCTAGCACTGGAAACTACCACTCTCAAGTTATTCAGTTGTAGAATAATTCCAAAGAGGAACTTGTGTTAATACCTCTAAGCCACTAGAGGTCCATTTAATAAATTATTGCTGCCCTTCAGTAGAATCAATTACTACTTCAGGGAACTGAAGAGAGTTCTCAGAGAGCAGGTTATGACCTGGAAAAAAATCTTGGTAAATCATTTTTATACTTAGAAACTCCACCTGAAAAGCAGTAGTAAAAAGTATAGTGGGATGAGCTGAAAGGCATCATGCTTTGCACCAATACCAACAATTTTTAGAACACATTTCACTACATGAGTTTTTCCACCAAGGATATTTTCTTATTTTAATAGTTTAAGCATGAAAAGCAGATATTCCTTCTGGAAATTGCAAATTGTTGACTCATTGCTTCTCTTTTAGGATCAGTAATTTCACATATTACTTGATTTTATTTTTGATAGGCAGAGTCCACGTTAAGACAGCTTTTTAAAAATATTTAAAGTATGTGGTTTACTTACCTGTTGTATACAATAATTTGTGATTCTAGGAGAGTTAAAATGGTATATTTTGTAATAACTGTTTGTGAAATATTTAAAATGCTATTGTTTTTTAAAGCTACATACTTCCATTAACTGCTAAGATTCATGAATATCCTCCAGAAGTGCTAGAAAAAAAAGTTAATTTCATTATTTAAGAGTAGTATTGAAGTGAAATAAAAAATTGATATAAAATTTAAATGTTTCCAGTTACCAAAATGGAAAAAGAATTTTACCAGTTGTCATTGCCCCATACACTGACACATCAATGAAAGCTTAGCTTATGCCTAAACCTTAAACCTTAATACTATTTGGCAGTGGGGGAGGGGGCATATGTCAGGTCAAACAAAGTATGTATTTCCAAAGCAGCATTTGCAAAGGTTAATCTGTTTACGGGCCTCAGAGGGGAAAGTGCAGTGTCCCGTGATCGATCCAAGACCCCTCCTTGGCTTTCACCCTGGTTAATAAACCACAGAGAGGGATAATTTTTAAGCTTAATTTGCTTAAATGGAAGTTTACTAATGTATTTTTAAAAATCCCCAAATTTGGGGGTTTTCAGCAAATTGATCTTATATATGAGAACACTCTAATTTCTTATTTCTTCTACTGACACCTTCTACTAACACCTAAAGATAAAGGGTCCCTGACTACTGGGTAATCTGACTACTGGGTAATCTGCAGGGAGACATTTCCAGAATCCCAGAACTCAAGGTGCCCTGAACACTCAAGGCCACGGTGGCCCGGGGAGTTGAAGGGGCTTTACCAGGAACCCGGGTCTCCTAACTCTGGGCTTAATGAACCCTCTTTCCCCAAACACCACCGTTCCAGTGGCACCAGGCAGAGTGAGGGTCAAAGTCAACAGACTGATCTCCCGTCCGCTGGCTGTGAGGGAATTTTAAAATGCGTTTCACGAAAGGGCATTTCTGAATATTTTGTTCCCCAAACACTGCACAGACAAAAGATGGTTAGCGGTGGGGGGAAACGCGAACGGGAGAGAAAGCGCGGGTTCTCGGAGACTGGACGGGATCTGAGCGGGGAAGAGGGAGTTGGGGGGCAGGGGCGCACTGAAAAGCAGTCTGGAGTGGAGAGGCGCCCCAAAGCGCCAACGCGGTGGCGCAGAGAGTGGGCTGCATTTATCTATTCTAGAGCCTTTCACAAGGGATCTGGGGGAGCCCTGCAGGGGCCACGGCCAGGGATAGATGCTCAGTCGCTCCCAGGTCGGGGGGTGGAGTGGGGAGGAGCTCAAAACGGGAGCCGTTTGGGCACTGCTCGCCCCACTCGGCGCTCGCCCTCCTCCCGGACTCTCCCCCACGCCCTCCCGTGACCCCTCCGGACTCTGCGACGCCTCCCCGAGCCGCACCGCTCTCCCTCCCCGCCCGCCCGCCCTCCAGTCCGCGCTCCAGGGGCCGATCGCGCTCCGCACGGTCTCCGAGCGCAGCCCCCGGCGGTGCGTCACAGCCGGCCGGCCTCCGCCGCCCCCTCCCTCCGCCTCCTCGCCGGCCCCACGCGATCCAGCCGGGAGAGGCGGGGAGCCGGGAGCGCGACCGCCGCGCAGCCACTCTGCAGCCGCCGGTCCGAGGCGCAGTCCCTAGGCCCCGAGCCCGGGCCCCCGGGAAGTCGGCGCCGCCGCGGGAGACCCGCAGGCTGGCCTCTGCGCGAGGCGCGGAGGGCGCGTAGTGATCGGGCGGAGGGCGCGAGCCAGGTAGCGGCGCGGAGTTGCGGTCGGGATGCAGTCGGTGCCAC